GTGTGTCTGTGATCAGTAATTCCCTATTAATTGGAGAAAGGCAGCATGGGTGGACGGCGGAGACTGGAGACAGAAACATTTATTGACCATATGTGATCAGCTCCATCAGGTTCCAGCAGCACCCACTCAGAAGGAGGAGGGATACAGCCAAGTGCTGCCCTAAGAGCTTCAAGAATGAAATCAGGTCTTTTGCAGAAATGGGAGAAATTCTCAAGGCTCCAGGAAGTGGGATATTTCAAAGAATGTTCAAAGATGATAGATCACAAATCAAATAAAAACGAAAACAGTTAAATAGTGACAGTCATTCCTAGGAGAGACGCACACGTACACACACACCTGCACATGCACACACATCAGTAAGGTTCAATACGTGGTATATCCCAGTGTCGGCATCTTTCTCTTCTTTATCCAAACATTTTTTCACGCAGACTGTGTATCAGTATCACAGGGAACTTTAAAACATACAGGTTTCGGGGCACCCTATCCATAATCACTAAGTTTTACCCTCTCGGGAAAGAAGAGAGGCCCAGGGATGGGTATTTTTCTTAAGCTTCTCAGATGGTTCAGCAAACCACATTCACATTAGCCTTTGGGAATCACCACGTGAGACCTCTTCCCCTTGAGACTCATGCTTCCAACTGTACTTCAGCTTTTGGTTTTCAAAAAACTATTTTATTAAAAGAAAACATATACTAATCAGATTTGATGAAGAAATAAAAGACTATTTCCAGACACAGAAAACTTGTAACCATGTAAAATTTGTTTAAAAAAAAGAAAACGTGGGGACGGCCTGGTGGCGCAGCGGTTAAGTTTGCACAGTCCGCTTTGGCGGCCAGGGGTTCGCAGGTTCGGATCCCGGCTGCGCACTGAGGCACTGCTTGTCAAGCCATGCTGTGGCGGCATTCCATATAAAGTGGAGGAAGATAGGCATGGATGTTAGCCCAGGGCCAATCTTCCTCAGCAAAAAGAGGAGGATTGGCATTGGATGTTAGCTCAGGGCTGATCTTCCTCAACAAAAAAAAAAAAAAAGAAAGAAAGAAAAGAAAACGTGTATTTTTATATGCATAGACTATCTCTCAGGATCACAGGAAGAACTTGCTAACATTCATTGCCTCCTAGGGAGGGAATTAAGTAGCTAAGGGACGGGGGAAGAGGGAGACTTTTCACTATGTATTCTTCTGTACTTTATAATTTTGAGCTATGTTAACATATTACCTATTAAAAATAAATAAAAAGAAAATTTAGAATATATCATAAAGATCAAAAATACATGACAATAAAAGATAACAAGTATAGAGGACATTTTGGGACAATCGGGGAAATCTGAGTATGGACTATACATTAGATGATGGTAGAAAATCAGTGTTACATTTCCTGAGTGTGAAACTATGTTATAGTTTTGTATGGTTTCCAGAAGATATAACCTGAGTATTTAGGAGTGAAGTGTCATGACGTTTGCCTTTTACTTCCAAACAACTCAGAGAAATACAATTATATACAGAGAGATAAAGCCAATGTGGTAAAATTTTAATAATAGTGAATCTAGGTAAAGGACATTTTTTTTTTTTTGTGAGGAAGATCAGCCCTGAGCTAACATCCATGCTAATCCTCCTTTTCATTTTTTCTTTTTTTTGCTGAGGAAGACCGGCTCTGAGCAGCATCTATTGCCAACCCTCCTCCTTTTTTTCCCCAAAGCCCCAGCAGATAGTTGTATGTCATAGTTGCACATCCTTCTAGTTGCTGTATGTGGGACGCGGCCTCAGCATGGCCGGAGAAGTGGTGCGTCGGGGCACACCTGGGATCCGAACCCGGGCCGCCAGTAGCAGAGCGTGCGCACTTAACCGCTAGGCCACAGGGCCAGCCCCACTTCACTGGTATTTAATTCACATACATAAAATACATACCCTTTTAAAGTATAAAATTCAATGGTTTTAGCATATGCAGAGTTGTGCAACCATCACCACTATCTAATTTTAGAACAGTCTCATGACCCCCGAAAAGAAACCCTAAACCCATTAGCAGTCACTCCCCATTCTCCCTTCCCCTCCAACGCCTGGCAACCATTTTCTGTGTCTATAAATTTGTAATCTACTTTCTGTATCTATGACTTTGCCTATTCTGGATGTTTCATATAAATGAAATGATACAATATGTGATCTTTTGTGATGGGCTTCTTTCATCTAGCATCATTTTTCAAGGTTCATCTATGTTGTAGCATGTATCAGTACTTCATTCCTTTTTATTGCTGAATAATATTCCATCATATAGATATACTGCATTTATTTACCCATTCATCCATCAGCTGATGGACATTTTGGTTGTTTCCACCTTTTGGCTATTATCAATAATGCTGTTATGAACATCCATGTAAGAGTTTTTATGTGTGAACCTATTTTTTCATTTTTCTTGGGTATATACCTAGGAATGGAATTCCTGGTCATATTATAACTCTTATGTTCATTACACTATTCTTGAAACTTTTCTGTAGGATTAAAAATTTCAAGATAAATTGGGGAAAAACTATAAAGTAATAATAAGAATATAATAATATATTAACCAAACTATCTTGTGCTCAGAGAGAATATGCACATTACATGATTTTAAGTAGTACACAACTCTTATTCCCTGCAGGGGAATGTGGTAAGTGCCTACGATGTCTTCTGTCTTACTAACAGAAGACTATTACCTCATAGTCTTATCATTTATTCAGTAAATAAAGACTGATCTTATTTATTGACTTGCAAAATGATCGACAGAGACAAACTACTTATCTGGACTGGATAAGAAGCACCTCAATATTTGATACAAGCAATGATGCATATAGAATACGGGCTCTGGAGTCACAGGGCCGTGGGTTCAAACACCAGCTGCAGGACTCTGGGCATAAAAGCAGCACCATCTACACCTGTAGCTCAAATCAGATAACACACAAGAGGGTCTCGCAAGTGCCTAGCACACAGTAGTTACTCAATATGTGCTAGTTTCCTTCAAAATAGCTATACAGAAATATCCCCCCTTTACCTTCAAGCTTAAAAATCAAAAGCCGCTTTATTAAAGATACGTTGATATTGTAATTCCAAAACCAAAGACCTGTTTAAGTCTACGTCTGTATACAGGTGACCTCCGATTGTTTTGTCTGTTTCCAGCCTTTCGTCTGAGCTCTAGACCGCCATTTCCAACCACCTGCTGAGTCTCCCCTTGAAAATCTGCCTGCAACTCAAGCTCAGCTTGCCTCAACTTTTGCTTGCTACCTTCCTCCTCCGCCTGCCCCTCCTGACTTCTCAGTCCTATAAATGATATTATCATTGAGGTGCAAAACCGCCAAACCACCTTTGCCAAGACTTGTAGACCTTTCTTGTCATCATCTCCTTTCCCATTGTCCTGAAACCATGAGGCCCTGCTACCGCCCATCGGATTACCATAACAATTTGCTAAACTAACCTCCCCTCCTGTAACCACTCCCTTCACCATCCCGTCCCACACTCCAGCGCCACGGAATCGGTCTAAGATAAGGATAAGAACACGATACTTCCCTCTTCAAAAACCTTTCATGGTTCCCTACTATTTACCGACTATTCACTTATTCATTCAACAAACATCTACTGAGCACCTACTATGGTGCTAGGCTTTGTTCAAGGTGCTGGAGACACAGAAGCTGTCGTGGAGCTCACATTCTAGTCGTCAGGAAAGAAACAACACCCTAAGCAAACAACAGTAACTTCAGATGGCAATAAGGGATGGGAAGAAAAAAAGGCCGGGGAACAGGACGGTGACTGACGGAGTGATAGTTCCGGTAGGAGAATGAGAGGAGGCTTCTCTGACACTGAGACCAAGCCCTAAATGATGAGTAGACCACTGGGACAGGACCATCTCAGGAAGAGAGAAGGGAAGGACTCAAACCCTGAACCTTTCAGCATTCTGGAATCAACTCTCATCTCAAAGCACCTGCGTCCTCCTTTCCTGCCTTTGCTGTCAAAATCCTCCCTGCCCTGAAAGTCATCTCAGATGCTCCCTCCTCCAGGAAGTCTCTTTGAATCTCCCCACTTTGCCCCCTTCCCCCAGTCCCTTAATCACATGAGTATTATCCTTCATTTGGGAATATAAATTAACACATCTACCTTTCTTTTTTAAGCAAAGACATCTGAACTCATATACCCAAAGGAATGGTGTCCTTCAGAGTGATCAGTTTCCTTTCAGTCCATCATCCAGTGATTCAGCACCTACTATATGCCAGGCTACAGAGACCCCAAAATAAAACGGGGTCATTCACATCAGTGATGTTCACAATGCTTCTCAAACTCTTTAGGTATTGCTTTTTGGGTCAGGCAGTGAGCAATACACTACAACCAGTCTCATTTCTTTATAAGTAGCAACTTCCTTCAAATAAAAGTTTTCCAGTTGATCAATATCTTTTTTCTCAAAAAACGAAACTGACTACAAATAACTTTTTGATTATCAAAAAAAGTTAAGTATGCCCTTTTCAAAAGCACAGATGCCTGCCTCCACTAAGGAAATTCAAAACAAAACCATGCCACAGGCACCAAAAGCAGTTATAAAGGAGTTTCCCACACATGTTAAGGCATAGCTACACCAGAGGAAGAAGTGGGTAACTCACCAAGGTGATTACTCTGAAAGGGACATTTGTTTGAATGGTGTTCTGTTAAAAAGTCATATTATTTTATATGCAATTCTTTTGTTGTGTTAACTCATGCAAAAGCAGCAAAATCAGTTATAATACATCTTTTAAGGATGACCATTCTTGGTCTTTCGCTATTGCTTAGAGCAGTATCCATCCAACATTGTGTTAACTAAGCCCAAAGAAGGTGCCTAACGTATACCTGTTGATTGATTAACATGTATAAAATCTAATACAGCCATTTCTCCTTCACAGTTGTGTCATCATAGCTTTTCATAAGAGTGTCTGGAAAAACTGAGTCTGTGTGAGATTGAGAGGCTGCCCCGTTCTGGCCCCCACCCCCTCCCTCCCCACCTACACTGACCTGGAGCTGTATTTCTTGAGGATGGTGTCCAAAAGGCCAACGAGCTCCTCCGCGTTGATGAACTTCTGTGTGCTGAGGGTGTAGATCTTCTCGTAGAAGTCTGCGATCTCCATCCGAGCCTGAACGAAGAAGCAGAGCTGCTCCGACAGATGGGAGAGGAGTTCTTCCACGTGAGGAGCCGTCCCACCCGGGGCCCCGCGGCCGGTCACCACCTTCTTCAGCTCGTTGTGCAGGGAAGTGTAGATGGTGCGGATGGAATCCTTCCTGCTGAAGAAAGACTGGCCCCCTGGAAGGCAGACGACACAAGCACGTGGCAGGTCAGGAAGAGAAATCGGAAACACAAGACACCTCCCAGCACCCAAGAGGAAAGAACCTGAGCCTGCTACCTCAGTGAGTTGTCATCTGCCACGTTCTCCAACTCCTACGATTGGGGTCTAAATATTGTTTGATTCATAACTTCACTGAGGAAGAAGTTAAATGAATGCTTGGCACAACTCACTAGTATAGCAAGGGACCTGGGTATGATTTCCTTACCCAGAGACCAATTCTCCCCCACTCCACTTCAGTGAGGATTCAGATTTATTTCAGAGGAAAATTAACCCAGCAAATGACATCAACCTGTATCTAAAAAGCCTCCTTTCACATAAACTTTTTATTTATTTATTTATTTATTTATTTATTTATTTAATTTTTGTGAGGCGGATCAGCCCTGAGCTAACATCCATGCTAATCCTCCTCTTTTTGCTGAGGAAGACCGGCTCTGAGCTAACATCTATTGCCAATCCTCCTCCTTTTTTTTCCCAAAGCCCCACTAGATAGTTGTATGTCATAGTTGCACATCCTTCTAGTTGCTGTATGTGGGACACGGCCTCAGCATGGCCAGAGAAGCGGTGCGTCAGTGCACGCCCAGGATCCGAACCCGGGCCGCCAGTAGCGGAGCGCGCCCACTTAACCGCTAAGCCACAGGGCCGGCCCCCACATAAACATATTTAAAACAAAAGAGAACACCCAAATATGAAACACTGTTGTTATTCATGATAAATCAGAAAATTTTATTTCTGCTTTGCATCTTCCTTTGAATCTTATCTTTTAAACCATACCACAAAAAGGAAAACACACACATGCATCTCCCTTACACAAAAATCCAGACTACTGGGATCCCAGGGGAAAAAGAAAACCTTAGTACTCTTGCAAGGTTGACACTAGAGGCTATAACATCATAAGCACCAAATTGTGAATCACTAAGAGCAGGAAGCAATTATAAATAAGAGCCGCTGTCACTCAGGGGACCCAAAGGAAATTGGCAAAAAATAAGAGAAAATACATCCTTTTCAAGAATCAAAAAGGATCAAATGGCAGAGACATCATTTCCTTACTTCTGTATTAATACATGATCAACTATATTTCTAATAATTACAGGGCCAGCTGCATAGATGTTTTCTACAGCAATTCCGCACCCACCAATGGGTCAGAGGAAGACATTAGGGGAATGAAAAGAAACAGGGCAGGTTTAAAACAGTAATTCTTAGGAATATATAAAAATCTCAGAGATGGGCGACAGTTTAAATTTTCTATTGATATACACAGAATGCTTTAATGAATGAATTTATTACTATTCCAAACATACCAATTTGGAGTTAAAATTATTTATCAAGGCATTTGTAAAACATCCTCTTAAAGAATGAAACATTTTACAACATTGTTTTTAGTTTATTGCCCAGTTTATGTTTCAAGAAATGAATCTTACATCCCTTCCTACGACGGTGACCACCTTGTCCCAGATTACCCATGACTTTCCAGGTTTTGGCACTGAAAGTCTGGCTTCTCTGGAAACACTTAGTCCCACGTCCTGGGAACCCCTCAGCCTGGGCACACGTGGAGGGTTGGTCACCCTACTTACTACCAATTCCACAGACAAAGTACTAATACATAAACAGGATTTTCTCCAATACACCGCCTAAACAGACCGTCTAGCATTCACATCATTTCTCCTACTAATAGCAGCCAAAACCGTAAGGTACAGGTGGACTGACCCTGACACCAACATCCCACACAGGACTGTACCCTTCCTTCCGTGCCCATATTCAGTTGGGCTTTGCAGATTTTGTAAAGCGGTATGGAATAAACAGACCTCTGTGCCCAGGTCTAGGACAAAATCTCTTCGGTTAGGAAGGTAATAAGAGTACCACATAAATCCCATAAACCCTGGAAGTCTGACAGACCTAGTTCCAAATCCCAGCTTCCAAATTTACAAGCTGTGTGATGTGCAAACCGCTCAGTCACTTTCAGCCTTAGGTGGTGTTGTTTTTAACATGCAACTAGTGATAGAGCTGCTAAGAAGACGAAATGCAGTAACATTTGGTCTGTAAAGTGCCTGTAGCAAAGTACATCTTCAATAACGCTAATCCCTTTCCCTCCCATTTATCACTGATATGAGAAACTCGCAATACTTCACAACTGAGCTTCTGAAACTCTACAGTAAATTGGGAGCTTCAAGTACTGTAAAAAGAACAGCTATCTACTTGACAGATAGCTAGGTGACCTCAATTGTGTACTCACTTCCACTGTTAAACAGGGTGGCCTTGGTGAAAATTTTAACTCTGAGTGAAAAAGGGATACTTTCCTTCATCAGATTACCCTTATCTGGGAGAGTGGAAACACCACATGAGTACAAAGAATACCTTTAAAAGCTTATCAATAAGCATCAATCAGTAGTATGTGAACCAAGTAAAATGACACCATAAGAAAGGGAGAGACCACCAACACATTCTTCCAAACAGCTCTCTTCTAACGCTCTGAGGAGCACAATCCTATTTGTGGACTACCCTGGTTAGGGGAGTGGCCTTCCTTCATGCTGAGAAACAGGAATCAGGAGACACTAGACTTCCTTCTCTTTTCAATTTTTTGAATTTACAAAATATGGTTAGTTTGAATTATTTCCAGAAGGCTCTATTTATGAATTCTCATTATTTCTCAAGAGTTCAACAGTCTATCTCACATTATGAAATTTCAAGTAACAAATATTAAAGGAGTACACAAAACACCTAATTGAGTATTTTATTCTACAACTTGTTGCTAATAATAATTTTTAAACAATAGTTCTCAAGTTAAGTCATTCTCTACCATGCTAAATTCTGGCAACTAGAAGTTGAGGAAATTCTCCAGTAATGAAACAAAGGGGAGAAAAGTCTGACCTTCTAAAATCCTCCACAGGCATTGAGTCAGCATATTTTAATCAGTGATCTTCCCCAAACAGGTATATTCTTCCCTCAAAGGAAAGAGCAGACTCCAAGATAAGAGCTCTGCCCAAGTTTTTCATAACTGAGCCAAGACGGGAAGACAAGGCTCCCTGTCGGGTCTGTCCGTTGTTTAAAGGCCCACACTTGCATCTATAATCAGGATTCACTGCTAAGGTCTTTGATAAACACCAGTCACAAGAGTGAGGTCAAAAAGACTTTTAAATATTTAAAAAATGCACATTAACTTTTTGTTTTGCTTTTTAAAGAAAACTATATAAACGTTCTAATTAGCAAAGTAGTTGAAGAACATGGGAATGTTTTAAATGGCAACACAAAAATTTCTTCTCAAGTTTTTAAAAAAATGGAGAGTCAACCCAATAATCATGAAGTCATATTGTAAGCACGCTGATATCACAAACATTCCAGTACCAAAAAACTGTAAGATATTTGCAAAGTTAAAATTTAAAATCTGGAACCTAAATTTACTGTACATGTGAATAAGTTATGAGGCATTAAAGTGAAACTCATCATTTTCAGAACATTTACTCACAAGTGATGAGTAAGGGACCTGGGACACTGAACAGTGCCTGGGCATGTTTCACAACATAAACTGCTCTGTGGTCAATTTCAAGGCGCAGCCCTCAGGCTCACCATGCAATCTGGGGTCCATGCAGAACTAATCACTTTATATAAAAAGGACCACTTCACAGAACCCAAGTCAGAGACAGTGATGGACTTCCACACAGGGCAGCCAGTTCTGTTTACCTAAAATCAGGCACATACAACTTAAACTAGAGTAGCAGATTTTTTAACTGGGGTCCATAAATAGGATTTAGGAAATCCAACTCAACCCTCTCAGATTGTAGGCAAAATTGTATTACACATATATTTGTCTGGGGAGTAAGTCCACATGTTTATCAAATTCTCATAGATAAGCTAAAACAAAAATAAGAATCATGGTACTGGGGTCAATCACTGTTCTTCACGAGGTGGGGTAATCTAAAAACAATAAAACTGTCAGAAAATTATGCACCTACAATTTTACGGCCAGGATCCTCCCCATTTTCATACATATATACACACACACATATATATAGTATATGTAAATTATAATACATGTACAAATTTTTTATAAATCATACAGATAGAAGCACAATCTGACAGTTCAAAGGCAGGTATTCTGGTTTGGGCTCTGTCACCTACCCACACAAGTGCACGTACACAATTTGCCCATCTGCAGAAAGGGGAATAATAACACTGCAACAGCAACTGCAAATTTGTGAGATGTGCCAGAGTAAAAAAGAGGAGGAAAAAATACACAAGGTGAAGCTATCTGACCAGTTTTTGCCAATAAGTCAATGTACTAAATAACAAGTTACCTGCATAGCTAAGGCAGATGGGAAGATCTCAGAAAGCCCTGTCCCTTGAGTGTTTACCCGAAGCAATATGTATACGGTCACCTTCAGGCAATATAAGGACGCAGGGTGGGGGTGGGGGGTATCAAAATGGAATCTGCACTCTATTTTACATTTCTATTCTATATTCTATATATGTGTCCTTCATTCATACCTGACCCTATGCCTCGGATAATTAAAGCATATAAATTAGGCCAAAGTACTAAAACAACTCTAAAAGCTCTGGGATTCATAATATTTATTATTGGTAATTATAAGTGGTAATACTTTGTATGCATGGCCCTTGCCTTTCACATATATTATTTCCTTGTGATCTACTTAAACTGTTTCTGCTAGTGAAAATCAGTTGACTCAGCTCTTGCATCTTATTTTTAGGGGCAAGATTTACCATGGACGATAAGAGTGTTTACCACTTTCCCCTAAGTCCTTTCCTGCTGGTGTTAGGCATATTTCCTGCCTTTCCTATCTAGTATTCATTTATTTCTTCATTCATTAAATATTTACGGAGGGCCTACGAAGAGGGGGTAGGACTGCATCTGCAACTCTCGGGGGCTTTAACCTTAAGAAGCCAGACGATAGTGTTCATTAACTCTAACAAGGTTGTACTGCCAAATTTTGCTCCTCTGGCCGCAGCGTCACTGGTTAGATGAGTGAAGACACAAGAGTTTGCTTAACTTCTCATTTATGGCACCAACCCATGCACTGGGCAAAATGGATACACCCATCGGTTTGGGGCACAGCCCTGCCAACAGCATCCACGCGATCGGCCAATCTATCTGCAGTGGAGGCCGGTGGGCGGGGCTTGTGGAAGCCGAGGGAAGGAAGGGAACGGTGGGAGGAGACCTGCGAGTGCCGAGTTGAGCCTGCGGCTAGGAGTGACAGAGACAGGGGACCCACGCCACTGCCGAGCGGGCAATACACCCCCTTTCCTTCCTCTTCCAGGGGCACGGGGGGCGGGGCGGAGGTACCTAGTTTCTGCCCCAGGTAGGTGAGGCTGTGATAGACCTTCTCGGCCGCGGCCAGGTGGGCCAAGGCCGCCAGCAGCGACAGCCAGCTGCCCCCCGCGCTCTTGTTGGCCTCTCGTTCCTTCTCCACATTGTCCTTGGCCTTGTCGTAGGAGAAGATACCCAGGTGAGAGAAGAACGTCTCCAGCACCGCCTGTTCCACCGGGACCGGGGCCGCCAGCGGGATAGACTCCCCCATGCGAGCCGCGCTGCACCTCCACCCACGTGGCTCTCCTCTCCCTCGCACTTCCGGGTTCTCAGGGAACGTGCGCACCGGCGTGCGTGCGTGCGCGCGACCGCGCAAGCGGCGGGCTCGTGGGCGCGCAGCCGCCTGGACCCCGCCTGGGCCCTAGAGAGGATGCGGGAGAGGGCCAGAGGGGGGGCAGGGGCCGCCTCTCAGCTCCTGGGCACCGTCGGCGCGTCGGTTCCCGCGGCTCTGACTATTCGGACGTCAGGGCAGAACGCGAGGCGGCTGACTCGCTGCTCGGTGGAGGTGACCGCGTTCTGAGGTGAGCTCAGCGGCCCCTCCCTGAGGCTGCGTCAGTGCCGATGACGTCACGTGCACATGACGTCAGCGGTGCAGGCCCTCACGTCTGGCCTGAGGGGCGGGCGAGAAGGTGAGCCTGGTGCCTGGAGCTGTGCTCACCTTCGCGACGAGGGGTCAGTCCTCATGGCTTGTAAACCAGCCCACGTAAGTGGTTTCTAGATTAGAAGCCTGACATAGGTCAAGGTTTATGTCTTCTCGCCGTGTCTGATTCTCAGCCAGGCACACCTGTGGGTTCATGCTCACCTGTATCCTTTCTCGTCATCTCAGGTTCGTGCTCACAAACAGCTGCCAGGCAGAGCTGCTCTTCAGCTTGCCCATACGACCCAAACTACGTTAGGCTTCCTTAAAAAGTTCCCAGGATGAAGGATAAATTAACATAACTTCTGTTAAAGGATCTAAATTGATATACTTTGTCATTCAGATTAGTTACAAATTCCGTAATATTTAAGAAACACCGTAAACTCAGCTCACAGGTGTGCCTGCTACTCTGAAACACTGCTCACTACTAGCTAAGTTTTTTCCTTTCTCCTTCCTTGTACGTGCTTATTGTATGCTACTTAGTGGCACTGTATTTAATCCTGCATGTTTACATGTTTCTTACCCATACTGAGTGGTGAACTCCCTAAGGCAGAATCTAGGGTTCATTCACCTTTACGGTCTTTTCATAATGGATAGCACAATGCTGTTTGTTGAACAAGTGAGCGAATTGCCTATTTCCATTTTTTTTATCAAACTAGATCTGTTCTGCCATCACTACCTTTTAATGCAAATTTCATAATTTTAATGAGTGTGTAGTACACCTGTTCCCTGCTCTCAAGCATATAACTGGATAAGATCAACCCTGTTAACTGCGATACAAGGCAGAATTTTATGTTATAAAGGTGGAAAAGGAGGCAGCGATCTTATCTTTTGGGAAGAATCAGGGAGGCTTCCTGGAGGAGAATGTGATGGTTCTTGGTGAATGAGTAGAAGTCAGTAATCAAAAAAAGTGTAGTACTAGCACCAAAACCAACAGACACTGAAAGAGGGTTATAAAGCTCATAAACACACCAAGTAATAAGAGAATTCCTTAGATAATAAAGGTGGCATCATAAATCAGTGGAGAAAGGAAAATATTTAATAAATAAGGAGATGTGATTATGAGGGAAAAAAAGATCTTTACTCTGTACACTGCAACAGAAAATAATTACATGTGTAAAGAACAAAACCATAAACTAGAAAAAAATACAAGTGAAAATTTAATTGATCTAGGGGTAGAAAGGAGCCTTCTAATTATAAAAGAATTGGAAGAAATTACAAAGAAAGAGATTGACTTGACTATGAAAATGTCAAGAAAACATGATGCCAACCTGGGAAAAAAATATTTGTAACAATATGTCGGACAAAGGTTTAGCGTGCTTAACATATCAAGATCTAGTAATCAAAAGTGCAGGTTGAACTATTTTTCACCTATCAGATTGAAAAAAAGCCTTTTTTTAAAGTGCTGGTAAACATACAGTAAGTCTGTTCTTATGCATTGCAGATGGGAGTGTAACTTGGTACAACCTTTCTGGAAAACATTTGGCAATATATATTAAGATTAAAGGACAGTATATATACAGTGTCTAAAACAGTGTCGAAGACAATGTAGATCCTCAATAAATATTAGTAATACCTATCATGATTGTTACTATTATTATCATTAGCATCATCATCTCTTTTAATCAGCAGAGACCTCGAATAATACCTTGAACTTAATGGATATTCACTAAATATTTGATTGGCTAATTCTCCTTGCCTCATAAAAATTTTACAGGAAAAGCGATAGAGTTCATGACATATCAAGCTGTTAAAACATTCAAGTTATAAGGCAAGAAGTTACCTTGAATGATCATATGATTCAGCCCATAAGCAAGATACTTTCTACAGTAGCAATAAATGTTTGTTATTGATGATAGGTTAGCTGTCTATTGCTGCATATCAAATAACCCCAAAACTTAGTGGCTTAAAATTATAAAAATCATGTATTATCTCTCACAATTTCTGTCAGTCAGGAATTCAGGAGCAGCTCAATTGGGCATTTCTGTTTCAGTCTCCCATAAAGTTGTGGTCATCTGAAGACTTTTGGAGCTGGAGAGTCCACTTCCAAGGTGGCGCTCTCACATGTCTGTCGAGCTAGCACAGGCTGTTGGCCACATGGGCCTCTCTACGGAATGGCTTAAGTGTCCTCCTCACAGCATGGCATGGCAACTGGCTTATCCTGGAGCAGGTGATCAATCTAAGAGACCAAAGCAGAAGCTGCAACACCTTTTATGACATAGCCTTGGAAGTCACACGTCACCTCGGCCATATTCAGTGCCGGCTTTGGTTGAATTTGAGCAGGAGACCAGTGAAGGGCATGAATGCTGGGAAGTGGGGATCAGTGGAGGCTGTCCTGGAGGCTGGCTACCACAGATGATGATGACATTTCCAGCATGGAGAATTATCTGTCTCTTAAAAATGTCTAAGGATGGGAGCCCTTAACTGCTCCTTTAGTGATATTGCTCAAGAAGTTGTTTCTTAATTTCAGCCATAATCTCTCCTAAGTCTAGAAAAACAACTCTGCTCAAGACCGTTGATTTGATATTGCTCTTTACAGGCCCTTTGAAAATATCCCAAGTGACACTGCCAGTGACAAAACCATTTTAGTGATGACAACCTATTTTGGGGGCAAAAGGACATTAAGAACAGGGCAAAGCATTCCTTCATTTATTTGATAAACAGTGCACTAAATTTCATGTGTGGTCAATATACACATAAAGCGACATATACCAAAAATAATTTTACAAATTAATGATTATGCCAGTTAATCACTACCCAAATTTAATTTATCTGGGCTTCCCTTTTGCTGATCTGTTTTCTTGACCTAATACTAATATAATAATAAAACTGTCATTGATCTAACACTTACTGTGTGCCAAGTCCTTTACATATCACTAATCTTCCAACAAATCTTCAAGGTGGGTGCAGTTATCACCATTTGATTATGGAGAAATTAAGTGATGTGTTCAAAGTGCACATAGCCAGTGACTGGCAGGGCTGAGACGCAAACCAAGATCTGTCTGTCTTTCCTCCACAAACATGGCTGCTGTTAGTGAGTTATCCCCATACATATATGCCTCCCACCTGAGGGGTAAGAGACTTCCACTTTGTTACTTGGGCATTTTCAAATTGTTTCTGCAGTTACCTCCCTTACTATATTGACGAAATGGTTGACAGATATGATTTCAGTGAGAAGTCTTTTTTGGCTTACCAAGAGGAACCGGATATTTGATATGGAACAACCTCCTTCATTTTCTTTTCACATTATTTACTGAAAAATACTATACAATTAGCAATACATTATATGGCTCTTTAGCACCTAACTTTCAACTGAATTACTTTCCCCGTTGTATGTAAGAAAGTCTGACCAAAAAAACCCAACAAATTTTTTCACAATTAACTCTTCCCATTTTGTTTTTCTACATATCTAAATAAAATGTGATTTTGAAATCAAGATTAGGAGATTATACAGGGTAGTGAGTTGAGGAACTAATCCATTCTTCAAAAGAGAAAGAATATTTTAGATCTGTTCTAAATAACCATTGCCTAGTATTGGTGTAGAGCTACCCTGGCCAATATGGGAGCCATTCGCAATGTGTGGCTATTTGCATGTAAATAAATTGAAACAAAATTTAAAATTTGTTTTTTTGTTTGCACTAACCACATTTCAAATGCTCAGTAGCCACCTGTGGTTAGTGGCTACCGTATTGGATGGCACAGATACTGAAGTTTCCATCATCACAAAAAGTTCTATTGGACAGTGCTGGAAAGAAACAAGGTCATAAGAAAGAATTTCGCAGATAAAATAAGCCAAAATGAACAGCAAGTTCTGTTATTATTTTAATCCTATTTCATACTTTTTTTTGGGCAATATCCACATTTATGTTTTCTCTTTAAAATGTTATTTATGTATACATATATATATTGCTAAATACAAAATGATTATACCTAAATTTATTGAGTGGTTAATAAATTCCAGGAATTGTGCTAAGTGCTTTACATGAACTAACTCATTTAATCCTTAGGACAATGCTGTGTTTGTTGTGGAAAATATTTTTTTTAAAAAAAGGGGAGAGAAAACCAACCTTAATCCCTAACACAGAGAAAATCACTGTTGACATTTCTAGCGGATGCTGTGGTGTGCTGCCCGGATCCCGAGATACAGCTGCCAGGAATGTTGAATTCCTCTCCAGAATTGCCTCCTGTGGAAGAAACAGCCTCACCCTAGGTTATATCCAGTAACTGGTCAGTTGTGGAGGTACAAAGGCACAGTCGCTCCATGGGGACAATCTGGGACATCAGCTTTAGAACTTCCCATGGGACCCGTTAAAGCCTCTGTGGCAACTGCCCCGCAGTTCACCCTCTCCCTCCACGAAGTCCTGCCTCCCTTGCAGTGCTGTTCCTGCGAGCTCCCTCCGGTGAACGACCCGCATGCAGGTCTCTGCCTCAGAGTCTGTTTCCTGGAAAACCCAACCTGGGTCGGCATGTTCAGACTCTAAGATCTGGTTTTTTCTTTTTACATTTATCTATTTAAAAATTTAAAATCTATCTAAACTTATTTCATCCCAACAAATTTGATTTTTCTTATCCATTGTTTTATATGTTAATTTTTAACATTTTATGAATAATTTTGCATGCAACTAATATTTTTCTCTACCACAATTTTTAACAGTCACCTGGGATTCGTATGGCACATCACACACAGCCAGTCTTGTATTCTTGAATATTTTGGTGTTTCTTGGTTTTCACTGTAGCAGACCCTAAAACTTGGCAGACCGACGCCCATTCGCAACTTCCCTCTCACTCGCCTGCCTCTAGAATGGGAAAACCAAATATTCCCGTGTCTGTCATTTTCCTAGCCTTGCTTACACCTGGGGTGGTGTAAGTTCCAGCCGTTGGGA